ACAGGTTGTATTAATAACATGTTGAACTCACAATGTTTCAGTGATTCCATATCAGGCAGACGGTAGCACTGCCTATGTAAGGATGGCACAGATTGTTCATCGAAATGGTATTTTAAATGTCTCCTCAATAAGTCATCAGAACTTTACAATACTATACAGTGTTTCCTTTGATAACAATATGTATGTAATGACTGAGTCACAAATTCTGGGAATATCTGTAAATATCATAGCAAACAAAAATTTAATTTCTTGTACTGCTATCTTCTGCTTCATTTTTATTACACGATAACTCAAAAACCAAAACAATGGTGTCAAACAATTTCTCTGAGCTGACGCAGTTTCAAACGGAATATTCGCTATTATAAACATTAGTAACTAGTAGTAATTAAAACAAATCATAATTCTAGTATAAACGATGTTATCATTACCCCTTGAAGTTAGCTTTCTTTCAAAAATTTGGTATTCGTTTAAAAAGCTTAAGTACAGAGTGAAACAGGAATTACCAGCCAATAATAGATACACAATAAATATTACAGTTGGAACCTCATTGTATTTAGAACCTGGTTATAAATACAACCTCCCTATGTCTATTGAACACTGCATTAAGAAACAATACAAACAAAATAGTAGGGATGGCATTTACATCATTCCCACGTAATAGCACATGCAAGAATTAACATATACCAATATATATATAACAATTCAATCACAATTGAGTTTAATTTATCCTGTTTTTGTCTGTTAATATTTCACTACTATATTTACTTCCTTTTTTGGAAAGTTTTTTCTTTACTTGTGGGTATTAGCATGTTGAATTCGCAGGATTTCAGTTATTTCACAGGTTGCGTTAACATTTTGAACTCGCAACGTTTCAGTTATTCCATCGCGCGAAACTTAAGTTAACTTATTTTCTCTCTCTCATTACATTACAATACCAGCATAAAATAATCTAGCATTTGGCCATCTATTTCTGTCTTAGCGTGTGTCAGTGTGTTCCATTATGTACCCCTGTGTGTCAGTGTACCCAGTAATGCACGTCTGTCTATTAGCGTACTCGGTAATGCACGTCTGTGTGTCAGTGTGTGTACCCAGTAATGCACGTCTGTCTATTAGCGTACTCGGTAATGCACGTCTGTATGTCAGTGTATCCAGTAATGCACGTATGTTAGTCAGTATACCCAGTAATGCACGTCTGTGTGTCAGTGTACCCAGTAATGCACGTCTCTGTGTCAGTGCACCCAGTAATGCACGTCTCTGTGTCAGTGTACCAGTAATGCATATCTGTTTGTAAGTGTACCCAGTAATGCACTTCTGAGTGTTTCAGTGCACTTAAAAATGCACGTCCACGTTTCTATGTACCCAGTAATGCACGTCTGTGTGTAAGAGAATCCGGTAATGCACGTCTGTGTGTCAGTGTGCTCAAAAATACCCATCTGTTTGTCAGCGCGCTCTGTAGTGCACGTTTATGTGTCCGTGTGCTCAGCCATGTACCCCTATGTGTCATTCTATTCAGTAACCCCTCTGCGTGTGTGAACAAAATAATGTGACCAAAAAGCTCTATAAATAAACAACACGTAGTTGAAATTATCAGAATAAATAATATGGGAGGATACGAGAGCATGACAAGACTAAAGTGATCAGAGCGGCAGTAAAAAAATAAAGTGCGTCCATGAAGTATTAAAAACAGAAAGAGCTCCTATTAGCTAGTGGGCATTCTAAACCGCCTTAGTACTGATTAGGATGCATGTTCACTTGTTTGAAATGTCATTCTAACATTCAAGGTCTTTTTCGTAGAATAGGAAGCTGGAAGGTTTTAATGTCCTTGAATTCCAGATACCTACTACTCGGTATCCTACTGGTCATTCTTGTTCAAACTTACTGCTGTAAGAGCAGAGACAGCCAGAAATACTTGTTACATTAATTCTGTTACACTATGCTGGCTAGTGTCTAACTGCCAATGTAAATATGTCCTTGAAGCTGAGATAACGTGTTGCTCAGAGTTTAGAAGTTTAAAACCAGACTGCATGCTTAGGACCTTGCAAAGCTTTTCCGCTTGAGTAAGTACTGCAAACTATTTTGCCAAGTAGCTGATAGTCGAATGCAATGCACGTGACTTCTTTGTTGTAACATCATTGTTCTTTAACTAAGCCAAAAAGAGCACAAAATATTCAACAATATTGTTTCTCTAGTCGAATGTACTACAAGGAAAACAGTTAAGTCAAAACTATGCTGAATATATCGAATGCACCATATCACGTTGTTTACACTTACCACAATAATACGGCTACGACTACAATACCACGTGATTTATAACTAAATTCAACATATATGTTTTTTAGACTTTTTCGCGCCAAGCTACGCAAGGTCTATTTGCGCATAATCGCTTTTACTTTTTGATAAACTAAAAGGTAAGCAGATAATCAACAGCACCTACTTCCAAATCTTGGACTACTCTCATCAACAGAATGGTGATTCCAAACTTTGGGCTACTCTTATCAACAGAATAGTGATCTTGGGCTACTGTTATCAACAGAATAGTGATCTTGAGCTAATGTTATCAACAGAATAGCGATCTTGGGCTCTGTTATCAACAGAATAGTTATTCCAAACTTTGGGCTACTGTTATCAACAGAATAGTGATCTTGGGCTACTGTTATCAACAGAATAGTGATCTTGGGCTACTGTTATCAACAGAATAGCGATCTTGGGCTACTGTTATCAACAGAATAGTGATTCCAAATTTTGGGCTACTTTATCAACAGAATAGTGATCTTGGGCTACTGTTATCAACAGAATGGTGATCTTGAGCTACTGTTATCAACAGAATAGTAAGATTTGACCGTCACTTTTATAGCGCACCTACGACCCTAAAGTGTGGCGCGCGTTTTTGCTGCAACGGGACACGAACAGGCACCCACCCTCAGGCTTACAGTCCGAACACATAACCACATAACCACGGTCGGACTGATATCAAGAGGTCATTCCACACATTGTTTAAAATTAAAACAAAGAGACAGGTAGAAGTATCGGGCAACTTGTTTTTTGAGAAACTTGTTAAGGCCACCACATCAGGTAGTTTTCTCACTGAAGAGCTATGCGGCAAGGTATAATTAAATGAAGAAACGTGTTGTAACTACTGCATCATGTAGTTTGTAGTTAAACCATGTAACGTGTTATGTATACCCCACCAGGTTGTTTACAATTAAACCAAGGACCATGTTTGGACTATCATATCACCTAGTTTGTAATTAAACCAGAGTGTGTTAAGTCTATCACACCACGTGGTTTACAATTAAGATAATGATATTATTATGATTACCGTATCACTTGGTTTATTATTAAGTTATGGTTGTAAACGGTTTATTTTATATATATATATATATCATGTAAATTATAACGGTGTTTGACTTAACACTCCATATTATGGTTATAAAATATAACTATTTTGTCTTTTATTGTTTTTCAGCTGTAACACCTTATACTCTATTGTATTTTGACGATCTAATACATAACATGTTTTGTAATACAATGAACGTTATAGAGCATTGAGTTTTATTTATTTTTATAATTATCATATCAACCAATTTATATTACACTCAACATATTGCTAGACAAGGTTTACTGTTATGTTTGCGACAATATCGTATATCAAACGTTAGTGTTATATGCATGTTACACACATGAATCAGTAAAATACAATGTATAAGAACTAGTTGCTTAAGTAATCAAATAACATAGGTTATAAATGAATTAACATCAGTACTGCTATTGGCTGTCGGACTGATCATTGTCCATTACACGTGACCAAGACGCTATATAATTTAATATTCTACATCGTTTGATTTCCATCCTATCAGTATCAGTTTTTTTATTACTTTTTTCTTCATTTCTTGTATAATAATATTACTTTTCCTTTGGTTAGATATTTGTTGTATCATTCTATTGAAATTTGTACCAATCAATGAAAGTGCTAAACATATCTTCGTTCTAAACATCTCGCATGTTTACCATGGCTCATGTAGTGTTAACGAGACGTACTGCAATTATTTCATGAAAAAACTTTAAAGTTCAACGAAAAATATTTTACTAAATTAGAACTTTTCTCTTCATTTTTGGTTGATTTGGGTTAGATACTTTTTCTAACTGTTGAGTTTCAACAGCCAAAGAAACCCCCCCCCCACCCTCGGTGGCTCAGGGGTACATTTACAACGCTAGAATACGGAATTCGATTCTTCGCGGTAGATTGTTTGTTTGTTTGTTTTTAATTATGCAAAAAAAGCTACACAAGAGCTATCTGTGCTCTGCCCACCACGTTGTAAGTCCGCGCACCTCCGCGTATAATATATTTTGTTTCCTGGATCCATTATCTTATTCTTATATCAGTTTTACTTAAGATATTATCCCACATCAGTTCTTGCACGAACTGGGTACGCTCTTAATAACATGTATTTGTAGGTAGTCCTCTCGTACAGGTATGAAAGCGACCCGAGGTGAATGGGTAAACTGTAAGTTGTCAAACTCCCTCGCCTACACAAGCACATGGTATTAAGTAGAGCACTTTACGAACTTGAGCAAGGATCTGTACCGGTAATTAAATCGTAACTATACTTTTTTGTGAATGCTTTCATGATTATATTCTTTATGGGCTCTCGTTTCAATCTATGATCACTGAAATTTGCCACCGTTAACTATAAAACGTGGATATCAAACTGTAATTTGAATATTATTCACAGACTGATTCAGAAATGTAAGGTTAGAGGCTATGGAAACGTCTTCATACAGTGTGAAGGAATAGTCAATTGTAGTTCGCATTTACAACGCTAGAGGAACAAAACAAGAATATTCAATTTATAGTATAATTGCATGTACGAAAGAAAAATGTATTGATATTTTTGAAAAGTGAGGGGGCATAAGGAGAAAGTAGGCTAAGAAAAACTATAAACAGGTCACATGAAGAGAAGCCATTGACATTTTCCAGTAATTTTCCTTTCTTCCTCCAGGTGTCGCGTCAAGCGGATGTGGACTAAAGAGGGATAAAGAGGTAGGTGAAACTAATGCTAGAAACTCATTTAAAATGCATTTTATTATACAACTTGATTTTTTGTAATGTGATAAACATCTTTCTGCACGAAGTAAAATACAAAATTAAGTGATATTTTAAAGGTTTTATTGTGAGTTTGACGTGAAAAGTAAAGCAAGAGTATAATTTATATTTTTTAATAACCAGTCTTCAATGTCATTATAATCCTTCCTTCACATAAACGTAAAAAACAAGATCATGAAATTCCTATTATGAAAATTTGCATAGTAATTTTTGTATTAAATTTATATCATTATGGAAAAAAATCAAGATACAAAAAGTAAGTATATCCGTACATAAGTTACTTAGATATCCGCTGTTATAAGTATACGTTCCACGCTGATAGTGAAAAGATGGAGGTAAACGATTTGTAAAAACATATTTCTGTTCCTCTTCATTCCACGCTAATAATTAATGAAAGGCAGCAGGGAAATGTCTAATAATTATATTACTCGTTCTTCCACGCTAACAGTGAAATGACGTAGGGAAGCAAGTAATAACATCTTTCTACTAATCCTACATACTTCGTACATTTATTAAGGCCCAAAAACGACCTTAAAGCTGAGGCACTTAAAAGATAAAACCAAAAAATATTTCTATCTTTTGCTCCTGATGAAGACACTTTTATCCTAAGGTGCTTGAGCATGAGGCCTTTTTTTTGGGGGGGGGGACTTTCTTCATCAAAATGTATGGATCTACGGTGGTGTTAATGTTGTTTTACTTCATAATGTTTCTTGTAGTTTACTCAAACAGGATTTACGTAAAGCAAGTCAATTGTCATTATTGTTGCAAGTATCTCATTGAAACAAAAACCCTAAGATTCTTAAACTGTGGTACGCATATCACTGGTGGTATGTGGAACTAATAAATGTCATTGATACGCGAAAAAAGTACTGTACAAATTATAAAATTTTTAATAAACCCAGTTTGAGCTTCTCATATACACAATGCTGTCTTCACTTCTCGACCTTCCTCCCTCTGCATATATTCGTCAGTGTTTTTCTTTTCTATTCAAATTGACAAAAATCGCAATACATATTCTTCAGTTGTGCCCTTCCCCCAAAAAAACAAAAAATAATCGTATCCTTATCATTAATGAGCTAGTGCAGAAAATATTAATTTTGCTACAATGTCTTTTCGTGTTTTTTCCCTCAAATTAGACCAGGGTTCGTTCTTCCAGAAAAAGTTTAAACAAAAAGTGGTACGCGAGCCTGGAAAGTTTCAAAACCAGTGCCTTAGACTACTAGGAAGTATATTCTTGATCTCTCATAGAAGTTGTGACGTAGTTTAGCCCTGTGGTAGAGCTCTGGCGAGATTGGTTTGAACTGTGCGATACTATTAAATATTCCTCGCACTTGAAGCTATGAGTGCGTTATGAGAGTGACAGTCAATTCCTTAGCTTGTATGGTAGGTGGTAAGGTGCTGCTGAGTAGTTTGAAATTAGGGGCGATGGCCGTAAGCCTTAGTGGCTTTGTCATAAATACAAATAAAAAGAAAAGTTCATGAAAATAGAAACGACCCCTAGCGAAAACTAAGGGAACTTAGGTAGTACCTTTATATATATATATATATATATCACTTACTTTCAGTGATTACACTCAACAACGGAAAAATTAAATTTCTAACTCATCACAGGTTGTGCTTTCTTTGGTAAGTTGATATATCGAATAGTTGTATATCAACATTCCAATATTTCTTCATGTAAACATTTTTAGATATCGCTTTTTTTTGTTTGATCATAATTAGCTACTGCTACGTAAAAATGCTCATACTGTCATTATTCATTCATTTCAAAATAGTTGTACTCATCTTCTTGTCCCGTTCTTGTTCTATATCGGTTTTATTAAAAGTAAACAATATATCGATCAGATTTGAAGCGTGCTATGTTTTGGTATTAGACTATAGCGACGACACAGTGGAGTTGTCAGGAGTTAAGATAAAACATTTCATTTGCGTATAAGTGACTCAGGTAAAAATATTAAGAGTTGTAATATAAATGATCATTATTTCTTACTTTCTTTTTATAATTTAGTTTACTTTTTGTCTAATTATAATACTGCTTAAAAATGCTTTTTCTATGAAGATCTGTTTTGGGTTTATTTTTTAAATTCAAAGTTGGAAATATTTTCATAATTATATCAATAATTCTTAAATTATATCTAAGCTAGTTAGCGTACTGCAAAAAAAAAAAGGAGTACAATTATGCGAGTATAAATTTCTGGTGTGTGTGACTTTATTCGTAAATTTTTAATGTAAAGTTAGTATTTATTTGTTTTATGTACATTTCAAGTAGAAGACTAACAGTCCTATTTTACTGCAGCGTAAATACGAAATAATGTAGCACTGACAAAAGATTCAGTTATTAAAAAAAAGAGAGAGAAATCACTGCCAACTCTTGTTTGTGAGGGGATTTTTTTAACCTCCTGTTATGATCTTGAAAGACAAGGAAACAGATTCTGTCGAGTACCACCTGTAAAGTTATGTATAAAACGTAATACTTTATTTTGTTTTGGTTAACGTGGAAGGACGTTGTTATAGTGATGACCTTTTCTTAGGAGGCAACTTTTTTTAGAATCATAATTAAATAATATGTAATCTCAAGGTAATCAACTGATTTACTGGATTGCTTTAACATGGTAGAAAACGTAACGGAAGTTAAAGGTGTTTTGTGTAAGGAAGTTTAGCGTTTGATTGAAGTCTCGTTTGTAATACTCTATGCATTCCAAGCTAAGTAGCGGGCTAATCTATATTTTATGTTTCTTTTCCAAAACATCACGGGTAACCTTAATAATATTCAACTCCTGATTCTGAAGAAACAAGTGTCATGACGTGACGTAATGCCATGTTTTCAACTGGAACGGAGCCAAAATGGTCGAGGTTATTCGAACCAAATAAACAAAGCATCTTATGAAAAGCACGTTTGTTTCTCAACATAATTTAAGAGATAGTGAGTTGGAGTTAGCGGTTTTATTCCAAGATAAAAACCGACTATTTCATGGTTATTTTCAAATATTTTATTTTAATGGAAAATCTATTACTGAGTTACAGAAATATCCATTACATTTTATGTTTGTTCATGATGTGTTATATAGTCTTTTGATTTTGTCCACACAACCTATATGCTGTTAATTCATTCTAAACCAATTTTACTGCTTTCGTTTCAACTAAGAGCCTATAATTAGGTCATTGCTTCAGTTATTCAGTGCCAAAATAATAAAAGCAGACAAAATGAACAACATAAACGAAAACAAAAGAGGTACAGAGCTAGTGCTGAGAATTAAAATTTATTTGTCAGATCGCTAGACTCAGATTTATAAACCCTTTAAATACTCCACGGAACGATTATATAAATATTGTGGTGAAAATAACACATCAATAAAACTTGCCTCAATATATCCAAGTTTTCTTGGGATGCTTAAAACTACGAAATAAAAAGCAGATGCAGACTCATTCAAGAATTATAATTATAACATAAATAAAGACGCGAAAGTTCAGACTTATGTGTGATAGTAATACTGTACACTTTTAAGCTTGTTCTGATTTCGGAGGACGTTTTTATGTTTCACTTGGCAATAACAATGTTTTTGCACTAATGTACGTGGTTTCTACTATACGTGATTTGGAACCCTGCGTGACTTAGAACCTAACCACAATTAGCAGTTGGTATCAGGGCTCAATACTAGCATGTAATGGTTATTATTCAAGCTGGCTTCTAAACAGAAAATGTCCAAGATAACCATCATTCATCGTACTGAGAAGCTTAAGATAATGTATCATAAAGTTCACTATAGATGTCACTAGTACAGCGTAGAGAGGCGACCTTATCTTGGCTGAGCTAACTGTAATTATAGACAGTTATGTTAAATAACATGCTTTAAAGCGCTAAGGTTTCTGTTATCGAGGTTGAAAGTTTAGGTAATGCAACTTTTTCCATTGTTTCACTACGTGCCTGATCTACTTTCGCAGTCACAATGGTGCATGTAATGTTCTTTACACCTGGCGGCGGTACCGCGCGATAAATAAATCACGTGACTTAACCCATTTATATAAAGTTATTGTTTTCTCAAAGAGTATTTTTATATCAATATGCTATTCTGATATTTTCGCGATAACTTGTAATTAAAACCATAATATGAGGTTTGTTTTGCATTAGCGCAAAGTTGCACATTGGATTATCTGCACTGTTTCACCCACATGGATTGAACCTTTAATTCCTGGCCTATAAGCACTGAAACTTATCTGCAAGCCACTATGGAACGATGATATGAAGAAAATAATTTTAACGGAAAACATTAATGTAACACAATATTCCATAATCTAGTTTCAAACGTCACTCCAAGCTTTGATTCTTTGTAATTAAGCATAAAGCTACATAATGGGCTATCTGTGCTACTGCCTACCACGGGTATCGAAACCCGGATTCTAGCGTTGTAAGTCCGCAGATATACCGCTGTGCTACTGAGGGGCTCTCCAGAGCTAATTCATTCTATTAAACTAAATGTATCTATGTATTTATACACCTAGCAATACAAGGAATTAAATATAATTTCACACTAATGAGAAAATAATTATACAACTAACGCAACAATTGCAATGACATCTTCCGTCAGACTTTTTATGTCTACTAAGCTAAGTTTAGTTAAGGAATCAGATAGTCATTTAATTTTAAAGCAACTTCAACATCTCAGGTTTAGAAATATTTACGAAATACATCTTTGGTATTCAGTAAATGCTTTTGTATTTATTTTAAACACATCAACAAATTTTGTCATTAAAACGTAAAGTAGGACAGCCGCAAAAAATGCACTCAGAACTTTGTAGCTCTGGGTATGTTATAACCTTGTGTGTTTTGTTTTAGCGCAAAGCCAAACAATGGACCATCTGCGCTTTGTCCATTACGAGAATTCGAGCCCCATGTCTTAGCATTGTAAGTCCGTATAGTTACCGCTAACCCTCCGGAGGGCAGGGTACGCTACGCTATAAGAACTACACGAAGACTATCTGCGATAGCCATCCCTAATTTAGCAGTGTAATACTAGAGGGAAGGCAGCTAGTCATCACCATCCACCGCCAACTTTTGAGCTACTCTTTTACCAACGAATAGTGGGATTGACCGTCATATTATAACACCCCCACAGCTGAAAGGACGAGCATGTTTGGTGTGACGGGGATTCGAACCCACGACCCGCAGATTGCGAGTCGAGCGCCCTAACCACCTGGCCACCCGCTATAAGAGTGATAGTTAAAATTCCACTATTCAGTCTGACAACAGTAGTTGGCGGTGGGCGATATTATAATTATTGTTATAATATTAAAATTAAAGACAGTTATGAGCAGATAGCCCTATGTGTAGCTTTGTGCGAAAATTTTAAAAACAAATAAATTTTTTATATAATGTTGATTTTAACCGTTTCAATTGTAAGGTACAGATAATTATGTTTTTATACCCTAACGCTGTTGAAAGCCATTTAAATAGATTTAATAAAAACTTGCTACTGTACTATCAGTTAGAAGGAATTATATATATTTATTACATGTTTATATTTCAGCAGTTTAAATGATTACAGAAGTGTCCTTTTTACCCATTGGTATTTTTAGCTGATATTTTTTCTTGCAACTTTGTTTTATGTTTATATTTGACAGTTTATCAACTACATTCTGAACATTTTTAACCTTGAGCAGTAAATGTTACCCTATATGTCCTTGATGAAAACCAGTGTGAAAGCAAGGAATAAGCAAAACTAAAAATGCCTGAACGTGCAATAATCTATATTTCAGTTGTTAACACAAACAACAATGAAATTTAGCTAAAGCGCCATCTGGTGGTAGAATAATATATTATAATAAACTATTCTAACTGAAACTTTTACTAAGGCATATACAAATAGAATTGGCTTGGGTTGTTATCCTTGTTATCCATCTGGTTTTATTTTAAGAGGCTATTCTGACTGCCCCCCAGTAGCACAGCGGTATGTCTCCGGACTTACAACGCTAGAAACCGGGTTTCGATACCCGTGGTGGGCAGAGCACAGATAGCCCTTGTGTAGCTTTGTGCATAATTAAAAACAAACAAACTATTCTGACTGAAACTATTTACCAGGGCATATAAATATATAATTGGTTGGACGAGTTTATTATCCTTTTACGATAACCAGCACTAGAATTTTGAAAAATATTTACGCAAGCTTTAACAACAAACTTTTGCAAAGGAGCCGAAATTAGTGGAGTAGATAGGGAATTTACCTCACCAATAATTTTGGCTGTAATGTTTTCTAAAGCTTCCTTTGAATATCTTTGTTGCTGTAGGGTGTTATGGCTTATTAATATTATCTCAAGGTCAAGTACTGCCATTGTTATATTAGTTTTAAGTCAAACGATGGCGCTGCGGCTTGTCCCTGCTAATTTTTGTGTTTTGTGCGCTTATTGTCAACTTATTAGGTCAAATGTATTAAATACACGGCTATGAATTTAATAAAGAAAATTAGAGTTTTATAGAAAAATAACCCTTAAAAACTATGGTAGTATTTTATTTACTAAGCGACGTATCGAGCAAACGCTCTTTATCAAGTACAGAAATAAACCTGTCAGTTGATGACAATTACAGGAAATGAAGCAATACACGAAAACAGAATGTAACACGAAATAGAAACACGAGACTTAAACAAAATATAGTAAAAACAATGTAATAAAGCTGGAGATTAAAAAATGGTGTTCAAGTTATTGTAATTATAGAACAATTTTACATCGAAAAAAAACTTAAACATTTTAAGGTAATAAAAGAAGGGTATTTAAAAAAATGATAAAACACAGAACCGTTCGTTAATACCCAAAGGACTTAAACAACCCAATTAATATAAAACGCAGAACCGTTCGTTAATACTCAAAGGACTTAAACAACCCAATTAATATAAAACGCAGAACCGTTCGTTAATACTCAAAGGACTTAAACAACCCAATTAATATAAAACGCAGAACCGTTCGTTAATACCCAAAGGACTTAAACAACCCAATAAAAAATGATAAAACGCAGAACCGTTCGTTAATACTCAAAGGACTTAAACAACCCAATTAAAAAATGATATCTTTTTCGATTGTGGTTCTTTGGTATTGGAGGAGGTATGACGTAAGGCAAGTAATACTTTAAAGTGCTCAAGAGAATGATCAGCTTTATCAGGTTTATTTTGATCTTTAATCAAGATGCTACGTAAGTGTTCACGTGTACGTTCAGCGAGCAGTTGACTGGTTTCTCCAACATAGATTTGGTCACAATAAATTAAACATTTAGATACACAGGTGAAATTACTATTCACAGAATACGTTGATTTAGAGCTTCTAACAGATGGCCTATGATCAATGTAAAGACAAGTGTTGCATCTCCTCCTCTGACAACTGTACGTACCAACTTGAGGAGCAGATGATAGTTGGATGTTGTTCAGAAGTTTACTATGGATGAATAAATCGTTAATGTTAGTGTCTTGTTTATGAGAAATTATAGGTTTGTTAGGGAACGTGTGACCGATGGTATTGTCCCGTGTTATGATGTGAAAGTTGTCAAACAACATACGTGTTATTTGTGTGTTGAATAGTTGAAACGTAAGAGTAAGGGGAATGTGTTAATCAGTGGAAGTAGGAGTGTGTTGGTTGAAGCAGGTTGGTCGTTGGGGGTTTTGAATTGTATTGGTGTTATAATTACTGATATGATTTAAGCTAAGCAATTTCTGAAAAGCTATATTCGGACGTTTATTGTTAGTATGTAGATTATCTTTGGTGTGATGAAGAAGAGAAGTAGGGTAGCCACGATTTTTGAAAAAGTGGAGCATATTGATAGATTTGCTGTTATAATATTCGTCGTTACTGTAGAGCCTACGTAGTCTGGTGAGTTGTGATTTTAGGAATGTTTCTCTTGACGTATGGAGGATGACTGGAGTGAAAATGTAAGTAGTTATTATGTCCGTCGGTTTGTAATATACAGATGTCGCGAGACTGCCATCATCGGTCACGGAAATAGTTATGTCAAGAAATGAAATGGTTTGGTGAGAAACAGAAAACATGTATTGAAGTGATTGAACAAACTGAACAAAGAGATCAAGTTCATCATTAGTGCATGTAGCTATACTGAAAACATCATCAATATATTTACAATATAAGGCAGGGAGGGTACCTGTGTAGTTCCGAAATATGCAATCTTCAATGTAACCAACAATGAGGTTAGCATAGGAGAGACCCATTTTGGTATCCATGGCTACACCCTTCACTTGTTCATAGGATTTGTTGTTAGAAAAAAAAGCATTTAACTATAAAACTAGTTCAGCTAATCTAACTAGGGTTTCAGTAGGTGGGTCTAGGATATCTCTTCTGTGAATGTAGTGTTTTAGGGCCTTGAGTCCATCTTCATATGGAATGGAGGTATACAACGACGTTATGTCAAGCGTGAAGAAAGTAATAGAACTTGATTTTGACTATAAATTCGCAATTTTTTATGAGACGTCATTGCTACCTTGAATGTAAGTAGATGAGCTAAGGGGGTTAGTATGGAATAAAGTTAACTAGAGATGAGTTCAGTAGGACAGCTGCAAGTTGAAACTATGGATCTGTCAGGATACTCTGGCTTATGTATCTTAAGTAGAAGATAGAATACAGAAAGCATGGAATATTTAACAATTAAATTCTTAGCTTGTAATGGAAGTTCGTTATTGCTTATCATTAGTTTTATAGTGGAACGGACAGTCTGTTGATATTCATCAAGAGGATTGTTATCACAGATAATATAGGACGATTGGTCTGATAGTTGTCGGTGAACTTCCAAACAACCACTGCTCCTTTGTCAGCTTGTTTAACTAGAATGTCGTCATGGGAACGAAGACTGTGTAAAGCTGCTTCTTCATTTTTAGTGAGGTTTCTAACAGATGTTGCAAACCGTTTAAACTGCAATACGTGTACTATACTTATATGTTAGTACATGATGATAATCGTTTCCTTACCTTGATGCATTTTCATCCATCGGCAACAGTCTGTCTCCATAGGATTGTCATTTTTTATCGTGTCGTAATTTATTTTGTGTTACTTGTATCGCAAACTGTAATAGACAGCAAGCATGGGCAGTGAAATATCTATCTTAGAAATTCAATAGCGGGCTATCAGCATTAAAAAAATGACATCTACATTGTATGTTATGGTAGCTCTGCTGTTTACACCTTAAAATTAATAATAACTTTAAAATTTAATTTCTTACTTCGTTTTTGGTGTACATGAAAGTTTTCTGACCCATTAATGTAAATCTGCTTCTAGTGCCTGATATTTTTATTTCAGTTTTATATAAATAAATATGTTATTATTTACAGTGATAGTACAAAATTTATGTTGAAAATCATTAGATAGAAATTATTATGTCTTTTATATTTAGGAGCCGGAGAACAATCAATCAGAAAGAAACAAAACTACTTCTCGGCGATTCCCGTTTTCTTGGAGATCCAGAAAATTCCCTATATTACCTCCACGACTTCGCTCCACTACCACAACCACTACAACAACTACCACAACAACTGAAAATTCGATAAATGTGGAATTAGAAAAGCATGGCGAACAGGAGGATTTTCTGCAGATTTCATTTTCTGAAGACAGTCCTGCAGTATTTTGGCCTGTACGCAGGCGCATACCTTCTCGTGCTTTCCTTCCACCCATAACCACAACTACAACCCCTAGGCCGCTACTCAAACTTTTGAAACCCAGACCCTCACGTCCATTACTGTATAGCTTGGACGGTTTTGTACCAAAACCCTCAATTAAGCGGATAACTACAACTGAAGCTCCAGCCCACATTAAAGCTCTATACGAAGCCAGAAATAAGTATTACGCCTCCTCTAGGAGAAGAAAGGTAAATATTAAATTTGAGAACCAAGATATAAGTTCAATGTATTTCAATTTTTCGCTTCTTCGCTTATACAATGAATTCAATCATTTATTAAGGAAGAAATCACATGATTATTTCTCTGTTAAGGATGGAACTACGTGACATCACTGCTAAGGATAGGGTCAGGTGATCTTAACGCAGAGGATGAGTTCATTATCTTCTCACTAATAAGAATGGGATTACGTGATCGTCTCACTGTTAATGAAGGGGTCATTCAGTCTTCTAATTCATAAGAATGGGGGTCATATGATCTTCTCACTCCTAAAGATATGATTATGTGATCGCTTCACTGTCTAGGATAGAGTCATATGAGCTAATCTTTCAGTAAACCGATACTTAAAGTCAAATAGTAGTTTCATAATATATATATACTTTATGTAAGGTTTGTATCTCTCTCTTTATATACACACATACAAATATCTCAAGGAAGGCAACCATCTTACTGTATCGGCATCAAAATATATATATAGGTGAATATTCAGCACTACATAACTATGGTGAACGAATACAAGAAGCAAAACCAAATTTAAAATATAAACAGAGAATCACACAACAAAAAGTTACAAAAGTTAAAATTTTAAAAGGAAAATGCCTATAGTAATAGTCTCCAATAACATTGGAGAATATCTCTTCCACTAGACATAAATAAAATTTAAAAAAACCAAGGAAAAACAAGACAGCTTACAGAGAAAATGAAGTAAAAGTTAGGGTTAATAAATTCTTAAATCTCACTGCTACTTCCTTCTTCAGCCGAATGTTCGCATGGCAATTACCCCTAAAATAATTAATTATTCGATATAATTGAAAATATGTTGGTATCATAATTTTTATTTTTTAATATCAACAGCTGTTTCTACTTCTACGTTTTGGCCTAGTGTGCTTGGACTGTGAACTCGAAAATTTATGAATCGAAGTCCATTGCCGTAAAAAATACGCTTTGCACTTTGAGGCAGTTGGTGCATTACAAAAACAAACACATACCCCTGCTTTAGGAATTTTATTAACAGCTACTTCTTCTCCCGACTTTACATTTGACCGTCACTCTTATACCGAGTGCGTTTTTGTTGCTCCAGGCCGTGAACGTGAACTCTAGAACGTATAGTCTGACACTTAGGCCACAACTGACCAAAATGATTTTAGGAGTAATTATCATGCCTAGTATCGGCTGCAGGCGATAAGTAGTAGCGTGATGTTGTGGGTTCTAGCACGTGAACCCTATCCCTAACTTGATTTACCTTGCAAGCTGTTCATCGGGATCGTCAACGCTTTCGGGAGCTATGACTATATGCATTTTCCTTTTGAAATAGTCTTTGATAATGGTGCAACAACGTTCCCATTATATATACCGAGGATAAGTTTATTTTTATTCAAATTTAGTATTTTAAGCTAATATTACATCGTATAGTCTTGTAAATAAGATAAAAGTTCACAGGTAAACATTATAATTTTTAAAATTATTCAAGTTATAAAAATTACGAAATACATAATTTTAGAGAAATACGTCTGTGTAAATACCTCCCAAACGTCGTTGGCCAACAGTGTAATATTGCAATTCACTAAGGGATAAGGGATAAAAACCCACAACATCCTCATCTCCAGTAAAATTTACTGTCTGCGACCAGTTTTGGTCAATGTTTGTAATATCTTCTATATTCTATATTTTTCATTGTTCAGCTGGATTCAAATTTAACATCAGAACCTCCGTCGTCCAAAGCAAGTGTGGGTACAAACAGTAAACCTGTAAGTATTTATACAGCTCACATGAAGAAGGGGGAACCTGGAGTCGACTATCCAATCCATAACTTTATTCCTACGACCAACTTCGCCTGTGGTAGAGCACCAGGGAGATTTGCTGATCCAGAAACCGGCTGTCAGGTGAGACAGAATTTTTTGTAAAAGTAAAGAAAGATAAAACACTTAATACTGATTTAAAAAATAGGAAAATATGTAAAATATAAAGAAAAAATTAAAGGCATAAAAATCATAAAAGTATGCAAGCAATAACCAGAAATACGGTGAAGACGAAAAATAATACAAAGACGTAATAAACTTAGAAAAAATAACGAAAAAGAGAAATAAATATATACCAATGAAACAAGAATACACGACAGTCATAAGAATAAGGAAATACATGATAATCATTGAAAGAAAGGAAGGCAGCAGTTACAGGAAAAATAAAAAAACATATATATATATATATATATAGACAAAATATGATAAATCATAGTAACCAATG